CCCTTTTTCTCTTATAAGCCATTACATTAGACAAATTCAGGAGGATTTGCCCTTCAAAAGTCATGTGCGTTGGCAGGACAGGGTGCTACATACGAAAACCATCAGAACCCTCCCCCACCCCTAAGCCCCCTGAGTGTGAAATGGTCTCTGCGGGTCTTTGAGCTCCCTGCGGGGCAATTCGTGGCCACCACAGTAGGAAGTGGTCAGCGTGTTTTTATTTCTGTTCTTTTGCAGCAGGATCGTACACTGCAGTTCCCTGGCCGGCCTGGAACTCTAGCGGTAGGCTAGGTTGACCTTACTTTCCATCCTCCTGCCTCAGCTACCCCAGTGTTAGGGGTTCACCTGTGAGCTACCTATCACATCGGTTCCAGTTTTGTGTTTAGCCTTGCTTAACTGTTTTCCCATTCTACTGGACACTTTGTTTTCTCTTTTTCAAGTCCTAAACCTGAGAACTTGGACTGTTTCCTTAGTGGCCAGAGCAAGCCTCTGAAGACCCCCAGCCTCACTCCCTTCCACATCACCCCGATAATTCATTACTCCCTCCCCAATTTAATTCTGGCTACATCTGGGAGAGTGCGAGGTGCCTGAAATCAGATCAAAACTAGAAAAGAGGCTGAAAATTCATGGAAATGTCAGTGATTTAGGCCTTGGAAACTAAATTTTCTTAAAGATCCTTTTTACGCCCACAAGCAAAACGTTAAAAAAACCTCAGGGGAGACCCTTTGCAAAGGTGGAGTTTCCGAGGGGGCGGGAGGGAGTCCAGGTAGGAGGGAGGAGACCAGTCCAGGAGCGCCTTCCAATAGCGACAGCTGGCCTCCAAGGGACTATCTCGACCCACCCCTTTTTGCCTTTAAGAAATAAACGCTCCGAGCGAGTTTACAGCTCACGCCTCGGCCCCCGGGGAGCTCTTTTCGGCCGCCCTTCTATCTTAAACCCCAGCTCACCGACGGTTCGCGAGCTAACGCCATGAGTTTCCAGTTGCTAAGGGTGAGGAGCTGGCAGGGCACCCGAGACTCCAGACACCAGCTAGGCAGAGGATGACCGCAGGCGGTGACCGCGGGCTGGATGGGGCGTCTGCTGGCGCAGGGTCGAAGGCGCGCGCCGTCGTGCCGCCGCCCTCGCCAGTCCTTGGCCGCAGCGGGCCTCCCCTTCGCCTGGCGGCGACTAAGATAAGTAACTTAAGGCCGCGGGGCTCAGCTGGCCTAGAGGGTGTGTGGAAGCCTAGGACCCTAGAAGGCCTCTAGGTATATGGGTCTCCCGCCTGCGCTCGGAGCGGTTAGGTCGCCCAGGGGACCGACCCGGGTACGCCTTGGGAAGGTGACAAGCCAGGGCTACCTTCTAAGAGTTTGAGGGTCCCCGGGGGCAGGGTAGGGCAGTCCCAGGCTTGTCTCCTTAGGGATTCTGTAGTCTTTAGGAGAGAGGCCTTAGATACCAGGCAATTTTGCCGCTTGAAGGAAGTTAAAACCAAATTCACCTTAGCTGCTCCGGAAGAGAGCCAGATGGGTTTGGTCAACGCTGAGCCAAGGAGTGCGAGTCCCAGACTTGGGACAGAATGGGGTCGCTGGAAGCTTGGTAGATGTAAGGATCCTTAATTCCGCTTAATTTTATCTGTTTGTCAAGAGTTGCCAGGTAGGAAGACCCAAGGCCGAGAAACTGCTTCGGGCCCCTGCGGCCTTGAGCTAGCCGAGCAATTCAGGGACCTGAGTGGAGCTGAGGCCCCGGCGTCTGGGTGTGCGTCCTCTTAGCGTGGGGTTTATTCCGCTTGTAATTTAAAAATCGATAGGTATTATTTTGGAGCGCCCGAGGATTGGTGTCAGCAGCACCCCCGGGCTTAGTTCTGGAAGTTCTTTGTATTTTTTAAAGACACGTGTTCATTTATGTATGTATTTAGTGTGTGCGCGCTGTGTGTATGCTTGCGGGAGTCGGTTCTCTCCTCCCACGGTCTGCATTCTGGGGATCCAACTTGTGTTTTTAAACTTGGCAGCAAGCGCCTTTACCCACGAACCGTCTCGCCGTCATATTTGGGAGCTCTTTTAAGCCCTAGGTCCATCGCGTACCCTAGGGAATGGGGCGTGAGTGAGCACCCTTCTCCCAAGATTTGTGGCAGAAACCGGATTCCAGGGCCCTGCCCAACCCCGGCAAGGTTGACACAGTCCTTCACTGTCCGGATGGGCGGAACAGAGTCCCGGCACGTGGCGTCGCGTTTGCAAAAGTGTTTGGGATCCACCTGCTCTCGGGAGCCCCCTTCCTTAAGGCGGAAAGAGGAGTCTTGTTGCGAGGCAGTCCAGTTTATAGATAACTCCAAGCTGCCTTCTCTGACCTTAGGTGGGGGTGTGTGTGGCGGGGACAAAAGAGTGGAGCCCCCAAGCCGCGTTGCCAGAGTCACCCACGCCTGCTTCTTTGGAGGTGGTTTACATTCGGGGCGCCGGTGGCCTTGCATACACCTGGTCGCCTCTGGTCTGGTTTCCTGGGCCACCTACTGGCTCGGGGAGTGGGTCCTGGGTTGCCAGAGTGTGAGGAGTGTGAGTGACTGCAGGCTCCCTAGGGGGCGGCAGAGCGAGCCCCTGACTGCCTTCCATTCCCACATCTATGCTTCAACTGAACCAGGACCTCATAGCAAATTCTTAGGCAGGTTGTGGTGTTGCAGAGTGGGCACCTTCCCCGGTCCTGGCTGCCGTGGGGGGGGGGGGAGCAGCACATGTCCGCGTCTCTCCGTGGATGAGGGTTGGAGATTTGTTTAGAGTTCGGGCGCCAAGGGATGAGAAGTTGAGCTCAAGGAAGGCGGAAGCTTCCCTCACATAGACTGTGTGTCCAGGTTTCGGCCCCCAGGCCCGGTGTGGATCGGTAGGGTCCCCCAAAGTCGCGGAGGTCACGCGTGCAAGCCGCCCTCTCTGTTAGGCTCTGCGCTGTCTCTCTAGAGAGAATGAATAGCCTTGTCTAGCGGTTCCCGAGTCCCCAGATTTCTGAGAGGCGAGCATAGACACTCGCGCCCTCTGCCCCCTCGTCAGCGTCAGCAGCTCAGGAGCAGAAACGACTTGGTCCTTCTGGGCTGCTTGGGCTAGCGCAGATGCGGGAAGAACAGCGAGAGTCTGTGGGGGGCGGGGGGGACAACCGCATCCCAGGCTAGGAGAGGACCTGACCCCATCAGACACGGCTTCTAGGGCGCCTCGGTCGCCTTCGGGCGAGAGCCTGGGACTTGACCTTTTTTTGGGCACCAGCATGCAGGCATACTGAACCCGGTTCTTCCTGGAGCAGGTGCCCTCTCCTCATGCTAATGCCAAGGCCTCTGTGTTTTGGAAGCTTAAGTATCAGGACTGAGAGCCTCTTTTAAACTCACTCGGAAAACCCCCTTAGTTCCCGCGGTTCCTACTTCCCGGGTTTGTTAGCGCAACTAGTCGGAAAACCTCCTTGCATGTGGGTGGCTACTCTTACTCTCTTAAGGTGATGGGGAATCGTTGGCTTGAAAGACATCTATTTTAATTTTAGTTACTTTATTTTAGGTCGATATGGGTCTAAAGAAATGCTTATACATGCTAGAGATGGAGCAGGAAGACGGTAAACGACTTTATCCTGTGGATAGGGGAGGCACGTCCACAACAGGTTCTGGCCACCGGGCTGATGGTATCAAGGATTGCATAATTGGCTTCGGAATCAAACCGAAATAGTCCCTGCCTCCAATTCCCTCTGAACGTTTGAAGCCAATCTCCATGTACTGTTAGGATAGACCAACAAAATTAACTCTGGAGAATTATCGACCTTGTGTTTGGAATGAAAAAAATCAGTTATAATAATTGGGCCAATTTGTTTCGTTTCTTTGAATTTAAAAACATTAACACTCAACGTTGTTTTGGGGCTCGAGTGGTAAATCCCAGGCTCGGCAGCATTCCGTGGATAGGAAGCTTTGCTTTCTGCCTTTCTGTGGGATGAGGAGTGTCCATCTCTCCAAGGGTGACTTCTCTGTAACCCCCTCCCACTTCCCGGCTCCTCCTCACCCCACTTGGCCCATGGTGCTGGAGGTTTATTCTGCCTGGAACCTATTTTCCCGGGCGAGTTGAGGCTTCTGAATGGCCCGCCCGTGCCAGCTGAGGAACCGGCACTCTGCAGGGCTGGGCATCATAGCAGGGAAGGGCGTGGGTGGGGGAGCTCGGGTCTCCCAGTCGCAGCCAGCAGCCTGAGATACACCTTCGGGCGACAGCGGTGACGCGCCGTTGTTCGATTTATTCTGAGCAGGTATTACGGTGAGTTGCCTCTTCAGAACTGGGGTGGGGGAAGCGGATAGAGCTTGGGGGGCCAGACTCTAAACAAGCCCTCCTCCCCTACCCCAGCGGGCAGTACAATAAAGTGTCCAGGGAGAGGGGAAGGGGGAGACACTAGGGCATATTGGGGCTTCAGTTGCTACCCAGCCCAATTCTCCAGTCTCTGGAGCGACTGGGGCGGGATGTCAGGAAACCCCGGGAGATGAGACACCTCGGAATGAGGAGTCTCTCTCAAGTGTCATCCATCTTTTAGAGGATGGAGAAAGGTTCTTGAGGTGGGGAAATCCCGGTTGTCAGCTCTGCCAATCTCAGGTGTGCCTAGGGCTGGCATGGGTAGCCGCGTTCGGGTCTGCGGTTGTCAGAGACCGCCCACTGATGCCCCTGCAAGCCCCTGGCGACGCCCGGTCCTGCAAGACGCCAGGCAGGGTGCGGGGCGGAGCTAGGCAGGGACTGGCTAGGAGCTGCCCCGCCCGGCGCCTGGGCCTCCGCGCCGGCCCCCGGGGAGGAGTTATGATAATTTTCTTCTCATTAAGGCGTTCGGGTCCCCCCGGCTATCGCCGGGACATACTGAGGGTGAGGCTTCTCCGGTCCACGGCGGCCACATCTAGGCGCGCACAACCACCGATGCGCGTCCAGTGACCAGGACAGCGAGGCCCGCGGGTGGCGGGGGTGGCGGCAGACGCCTGGCCACCGTGACCCCGATTGTGGATTTACCGCTCGGGGGGTGGGGGGAGCCTGGATTTAACTGGCGACTGTTTTGGGGGACGCCGGACGCCATGTTGTGGAAAATAACAGATAATGTCAAGTATGAAGAGGATTGCGAGGTGAGCAGGGGCTAGGGAACGCAGCCCCACCGGTCTGAGCAGCGTCCCCGGGCCGCAGGCCGAGGCTGGGGACGTTCGCGTGGAGCCCTCGCCTCTGGGCGGGACGAGGGCCAGTCCCGGACACCCCTTGGCCACCTCCTGAGTCCCTTGTTGAATCGGGTCTTGTCCCTCGGGATCGAGGCCTGGCAAACGCGTGGCAGACCCACCTGCAGAGCTCAACAGTGGCTTCCTACGAAGCGCACGCCCCCCCCCTTTCCGTTTTCCCCGAAGAGCGCCCTGTCTCCGACTCAGACGTGGCTTTTCCCCACGAAGTCTGTCCAAAGTGTCCACGGAGGCCTTCCTGTCAGGGACACCTTTGCGGAGTCTTCTCCAAGGCGGGCTTGTCACCTGCCCCGCTACCTCCTCGGGAAAGAAAAAAAGAATCTAAACAGCTGCAGCTTGGTTTTCAAGAGAAGTGGGGGCTGGGGACTAAGGGGTGGGGGTGAGGCCAGGATGGGGCCTTGAGCGCTCGCGAGTACTCCAGCCTGTCGGACAGGTTGAGCTAGAGTTTCGGAGAGTAGGAGGGAGGGAGGCGACGAGCGGGAAGAGGAAGAAGACTCAGGCGGCGCGAGGAGAGCGCGGGGGAGCGAGGAGAGAAGAGCCAAGACCGCCAGGCTGCGGGAGCGCACGGTGTCCGCAAGACCTCGAGGGGCTGCCCCTGCTTGCAGGCACGGGCACTTCCGCTAGGGGGCGACCGTGCCCCGCTCCTGTGTCCCCCGCTACCCTTGTGACCCCCGGGACTGATGAAGACACATCTTTTAGGAATTAAGCCTGACCGCCTTGGGGCGAGGGGACGTGCGCAGGCAAAGGTTGCCCTATTTGGCAGAGTCTTTTCATTACTTCTCTGCACCGGGATGTGTGAGAACCTTGACCGTAGCCGGGCTGGAAGACCTCGCTTCCCAAGGCGCAGAAGGCACGGCCCTGGCTAGCAAGGATCACAGCTCCGGTCCCGCGTGTTGGCGCCCGAGTCCCCGCGGCCGAACTATCTGGCCTTACCTGGGAACGACACTCCTGCGGCGACCTCGCCTTGAAGGGAGTGAGAGGGCGGGGTGGTCCGTAGGGCGGGGGAAATGAGCTCTTCGCCTACTTGGCGCTTTAACCGCGCCCGCTCCTTTTGGCGCGCCGCAGCAACATGGGCGGGCTGGTGAAAGAGGGGTCTTTGCGCCGAGTTCGCCGCACGCCGACCTCCTGGGGTGGGGATTACCTCCACAGCCGCGGTCTCACCCCGACGGTGGCCTGGCGCTCGCCCTTGGCACCTCCGAGCGCCGCCCGCAGCATAGCTCCCGTGCGTTCCCCAGTGTGCCCGGAGAACTCGTTCCCACAGGTCTTAGACTGTGGTTTACAACGAAGTCCCTGGGGCGCTTTGTCCCCGGCTGCCCTAGGGCTCGGGGGCGGGTCGAGACGGGTGGGGCGAGCCTGGTGGGGTGCCCAGGTGCCCCTCTCTTGGCTTGCCTGTTCGCTGTAGCAGGGGTTTCGTCTTAACCGGGTTTCTGCTGTTTCTCTCCCAGGATCGTCACGATGCGAGCAGCAATGGGAACCCGCGCATCCCCCACCTCTCTTCTGCCGGACAACACCTCTACAGCCCCGCGCCACCTCTCTCGCACACCGGGGTTGCAGAGTACCAGCCGCCCCCGTACTTCCCGCCGCCCTATCAGCAGCTGGCATACTCGCAATCTGCTGACCCCTACTCGCACCTGGGGGAGGCTTATGCTGCTGCCATCAACCCCCTGCACCAGCCTGCGCCCACCGGCAGCCAGCAGCAGGCTTGGCCGGGTCGACAGAGCCAGGAGGGCGCTAGCCTGGCCCCGCACCATGGCCGCCCTGCCGGCCTGCTACCCCACATTTCAGGGCTAGAAGGGGGTGCGGTGAGTGCCCGGCGGGAAGCCTACCGCCGATCCGACCTGCTACTGCCACACGCACACGCTCTGGAAGCCGCTGGCCTGGCAGAGAACCTCGGACTGCATGACATGGCTCACCCCATTGAGGAGGTGCAGGTGAGCCGCAGGGGCTAGGGAGAGGCCATCTTACCGCCGCACTTACCTCCAGCCACTCCACTTTCCCCAAAACTTAAAAGAAACTGTCATTTCTCCTCCCCAGAATGTGGACGACCCGCACCTGCTTCTACACGATCAGACTGTCATTCGCAAAGGTAAGCATTGACCTGTTGGTGCGACCCCAACCTGTGAAGTTGTCCCTTTTCTGGCAAAGTGGAAATAATAAGTGATTAACATGGGTCATCTAGTGAGGGGGAACCTGGCGATGTCGCCTACCTTTGTAGAAGGAGAAAGAGACATTATTTTCTGACCTCAACGAAAAGAACTCCGAGGACCTGTGAATTTTAAAAGATTCTTGGTGGTGGTGGTATTTTTGAAACAATGAGTCATTCTGTACCTCCCTAGTGCTGGCGTTATGTGCAGGAGACAGTAATTTCACTTGAAAGCGAGATCAAACGTTTTCTGATTCTATGGCAGTTTTTTAACTGTTGGACAAATCGATTCAATTTTACTTTTTAGAAGTAAAGTTTATCACGTTCACGGTGGGAGGGCGTCAAAATCCAACCCAAATCAGTTGGTGGTGGCACACGCCTTTAATACGATCAGGCAGAGGCCTGCTGATCTCTGGAGTTAGGGGCCAGCCTAGTCTACAGAGTGAGTTCCAGAACAGTCAGTGCTAATACTGAGAGTCCCTGTCTGGGGCCGGGGATGGAACGCTAACCTCCAGAGGTTGAAGTCCCCGTTGTCAAGCTTGGGAGCAAGCACTTTTAATGCTGAGCCTTCGCTGCTGTAGGAGGGATTTTATTGGAGAGGCCCTTAACTCTAACACTATTGAATCTCTTACTCCTAATGTACTGCTTTAATAAGGACAGCCTTTAGGGGGTTTATAGGAGAGAGGGGGTTGGGAAAGTCGGACTACAGTGAGTGGGTGGCTCTTGATTAAGTTAAAGCTATCAGTCTGTTTGAGGGGAAATGGAAGCATCCTGAATTACAGGCAGATAGCTGTGGTCTTGAAATTGGGACTGTGTTAGTAAACTGGAAGAGGGTGGGTAGGGTTGGGAGAAAAACCTGGAAAACAAACTAACATCTCTGGCTAAACTTAACTGGAGCTGGCTCCTGTGTTTCTGAATCCCCTGGTGTCAGCTGCTCTGAAGGGCTTGGCGGCTGATCTGAGTCCTGTAGTTGGGGAAGATGCCATTTATTTCGTATTGAAGCAGTCTTCTAAAAGCAAATGTTTTAATTAAACAGATTACTGTGGTGGCCAGGAACTGGGAGAAAAAAAAAAACCCAACTCCTCCACACATGGAATCTCGGCTAATTAAGGTTCCGGAGGTGTTAACTCATGATTTCAGACTGCAGCCTTTGAAGAACGAGCGTGGCTCTTAGAAGCCTTCTTGCACTGCGTAGTTCTGTGTGCAGACTTTTCTGAAGGCCAAATTCAGCTTTGGTTTGCCCTTTGGATGAGATCTCTATCCCCTCCTGTTCTAGTGACAGGACCTGTTCTGCTGTCCCCACAGGACCCATTTCAATGACCAAGAACCCTTTGGGCCTCCCCTGCCAGAAGGACCTGGTGGGAGCCGTCATGAACCCCAGCGAGGTCTTCTGTTCCGTTCCTGGAAGGCTGTCCCTGCTCAGCTCCACGTCCAAATACAAAGTGACAGTGGCCGAGGTACAGAGGCGACTGTCACCACCTGAATGCCTAAATGCCTCGCTCCTGGGAGGTGTGCTCCGAAGGTGACACATGTTCAGGGCCCCCTGGGGGAGGGGTGGATGTGTGCCAGGGCCTTGGAGGTATTTTTGTCATTTCTGTAACTTTTATATCTTACCGCTGAATTCTAATCTGCGGAAAGAGAGCTTTTTAGTGCCTGGCTTCTTTTCCAAGTGCCAAATGCAAAAGGTGTAAAACATCAGTAACAGGTTAGCATTTGGGATCAGGCCGCACCAGCTGCATGGGGGGGGCTCAACTTCGAGTGTTTTGTCCCCCCAGGGAGTTTCTTGGGGACTGCTAGCTGAAGGTTTTTCCGCACCCCCACTAGTGGCAGTATTCTGTGGGTTTTTTTTTTTTTTTTTGGGCGGGGGAAGGGAGGCTAGTTTATTTTCTTATTCTTTGAGAGTAGCCAACATTCTTTTTCCCACAGAGCAAAATCCAAAAACGGAGGCCGGTCCTTGCGGGAGAAGTTGGACAAAATTGGCTTGAACCTTCCAGCTGGGAGACGGAAAGCTGCCCACGTCACCCTGCTCACGTCTCTCGTGGAAGGTCAGTGCAGCTGAGTTATCGTTTTTACTGACTTCAAGACTGCAGGAGAAAAAAGTTACTGTAACAAGTGAGGGCCACAGGCAGAAATGAAAGCAGTTGAGACTGTGTGTCCCTTGCCGTGAATCCTGACACATTACCTGATAAAGTGATGTTCACACCTCTCTTGTTTGGGGGTTTCGTTCTGAAAGCTGATATTACTGAAATTTTACTTTTCTGAACCTATGAAATCCTATGGAGCGGCAAACCGCTCCTTGTGAGGTGAACTAGCCGTTGAGAGGTGCTGTCTGTCGGTGGTAGGCCCATAAAGTCACCATTGCTATCTTCTGCTGCGTTTTTCTAGCTGGGGGGTGTAGTAAGCATCCTGCTCCTGCTCAGTGGATGCAATGGGCACCGGCTCAATTCCCCATTTCTTCCATCAGAAGGGTTTTTTTGTTTTTCTGAAGGCATGAAATCCCTGGTCTACAAATGAGCCCTGTTCCTCAGGTCACAGCTGCTGCGTCACTGCAGGTTTTGCATGTAGACCTTTCCCCCAGCCTGGAAGGTAGCCAAGAATGCCATGCAGCCTTTAAAAGAAAACAGCGCCCCCCCCCAAAAAAAAGCAAGGGGCACATTATTATAGGAAGCCAGGAAGAGGGGCGTAGACACTAGTGCCTCAGCCTAAGTCCCCAGGCCCCTGTGCTGCCCGCCCAGACTCGTGCTGGCTGGTTAAGGTTGAGGATGGCCACAGAAGTGGGCTCTCCAGAGCAGAGCTGTCTTTGAACGCTTTATTTCCCTTGCCACGTGGTATGTCTGAAGTGCTGAAAGGGACTTGGCAGAACCGCCCCCCCCCCAAGCCTCTTCTCTACCTCTGGAGGTCAGAGCCAGCAAAAGTCTCACTGAGAACAGCTGTCTTGCATGGAGAATGGGGAGGGGGTGGTTCTAATGAGGCTCTGCCAGGCTTCCTTACTAACTACACTGAGAAATTTAAATAAGAGATCGGGCATTCCAGCCATGGCACCTGGATTCTGACTCACCTTAGGCCTGCCTCTCCACAGTCTGGGTTTTCGGAGTTATCGGTGTTTGAACCCTGAAGCCAGGTCACCTTTACTGGGAGAACAAACTGTGATTCCCCCCTACTTAACTCTGCTCCCCACTCTCGCACCCCTCAACTTGGAGCTGGGACGAGTCTGGGAAACCCCCACCCTCCGCTATCTCCCTAGTATTGCTGATTAAACCCAGGGTGGCCTTGAACCTTAGTGAACTTGAATTCCTGAGCCTCCCACCTTCACTTCCGAGAATTTTTTTTTTCTTTTTAAGGAGTGGTGGTGTACACCTTTAATCCTAGCACCGGGGCTGCTGGCTCTTGAGGTCAAGGAGCCAGGGCCACAGAGTGAAACCCAGTCTTGAAAGAAAGATTCTAGATCACCAAAGTATGAAGCAATGGTGGGCATTAGAAGATCCTGCCTCAAAACAAGAGAACCAACTCCTAAACATCCATGTAGCAGCACTCAAACTCAAAGTGCACACATGGACAATTAAAGAATTTAAAGAATAACAAAGAGGCAGTGGTGGAGCACACCTTTAATCCCAGCACTTGGGAGGCAGAGACAGGTGAATTTCTTGAGTTCTAGGACAGCCAAGGGCAGTTACACAGAGAAACCCTGTCTCAATCTGCCACCCCACCCCAAATAACACTGAGAAAAGTGAGCACCCAACGACAGCTCAAAGTGCCCTGTATCAAGTTTACAAGGCAAAGTAACTGTACTGACCACAGCCACTCCCAACCCTGGTCGTCACAGGTGAAGCCGTCCACTTGGCACGGGACTTTGCTTATGTGTGCGAGGCTGAGTTTCCCAGTAAAGCAGTGGCTGACTATTTAACCAGACCACATCTCGGGGGACGGAATGAGATGGCCACGAGGAAGAGTATGCTGCTGGCAGCACAGTGAGTGTTTGACTTGCGCAGACCCCGGGGCTTAACCAGAATTCTGCCGCCCAAGGAAAAGGCTAGAGCTTTGCCCTGCCAGAGCGGCAGCAGCCTCCAGTAGAGCCTCGAAGAGGGAGCCGTGGTGAATTGCTCCATCCCAGGTCGCTTGGAGGCTGCTGACTCAGCTCACAGCAGTCACAACACCCTGCTTTTTGCGTTTGCATATATTTGAGAATTTGTGTAGCTCAGTAGTGTTTGCCGAGTGCACATAAAGCTAAGCCATCCTCGGCACCACATAAAAACAGATCTAGTGGTGTGTAAAACGGGGCTGGTGTATGCCTGTAATGCCAGCATTTGGAACGTGGGAGCAAGAGCAAAAGTTAGTCATCCTTAGCTACAAAGTGAGTTCCAAGGCTAGCCTGGGCTACTTGATACTGGCTTTCTTGACCTTGGCCAGGTGACTGGACTTAACCCACTTATCTCTTCTTGTGACTGAAGAGGTTAAATGAGATAGCACTGAGGAAATCGGGCCCTGGTGTGTGGGGGTGTGCACTGGGGGACTCTGGGGATTCAGACCCTGTCATGTGCTAGGTGCTAAGCGTGAAGGTGTGACAGTCCGACACTAGTATGGGGCCAGAATGTCTCACTTAAGAGTGCTCGCCTAGCGTGCACGCAAGCCCCACATGGTCCCCAGCACTGCACAGACCAAGAATAATAGAGAAGACTTCTTCGCAGAAAGGCTATAAATTCAAGGTTGTTCTTGGCTCCTTTGTGGGTTCAAGGCCAGCCTCCAACCTTTTGAGATGTCTCAAAAACACTAATCAATAGAAAGTAAGTAAGTAAACACATTCTCCTTTTCAAGTTTATTCTAATAGGATCGGAGGGATTGAGTCTGTTACGAGACAGGTAAAGTTCACCAACTGACTGTCTCCACAGGCAAGTGTGCAAAGAATTCACAGACCTCCTGATTCAAGATCGCACACCCAACGGGAATAGCAGGCCCACTCCAGTCTTGGAGACGAACATACAAAACTGCCTGTCTCATTTCAGTCTGATAACTCACGGCTTTGGCAGCCAGGCCATCTGCGCCGCGGTGTCTGCGGTGCAGAATTACATCAAGGAGGCTTTGCTCACCATTGACAAGTCCTATATGAACCCCGGAGACCAGAGTCCTGCTGACTCCAACAAGACCATGGAGAAGATGGAAAAGCACCGGAAATAAAGTGGGGTGCATGGAGGCCAGAGTGTGAAGGGAGAGGACCTGAGCCCCCTTCACTGCGGCGATCTGTGAACACCAGCCTGGGCGGGGCAAACAGTTACCATCCACCTCACCCTGGACCTGCCTGCCTTCTTGGAGTCGGTGGCTTTTCTATTTAACCCTGGACATACTATCCCGAAGCAATTTGGTTTGATTCTTTTACTCATTAAACGTTTATTTTTTTGGAAATCCATTTCCTCTCTGAAAGGTGCTATGAGTTTTAGAATCCCTTTGTGAAATCCACCTGGGCTTAAGGAGAAACCCCACGCTGAGCTGCTGACAAGGCAGATGGATGGGAGATACAGGAATCAATCATAACTTATTTTTTTTTCAGTGTTACGATGATGTCTGGCTTTTATGTCCACTAAAATATTTATCTAAAAAATTAGTATTTATCTAGCTTTCCCTGCCCTGTCAGTGATCACACCTTCTGGTAGGAGGCGAAGGTCGGATGTTCCTAGCAGCTATTCACAGTGATGTGTGACAGGCTTCCAGCCCCGTGTTCAAAAGGGGGGTGTCCTGGTTCTAAGGAATTCAGAAAGCAAAGCCTGCTGACTGTTTCACGTTTCCTTCCTCTTTAAAAAAAATGTTGAAAGTTTGAAATTCTTTAGCTAGTAGAATTTTTTTAAATGACCTGTTCCTTTAAGGTATAGAAGCTTTATTTGCTTATTTATTTCATACCTTGATTTTTTTTTCCACGTAAACTTGAAGAGGGTAGGCACACAGCAGCGCCTGTCACCCCCAAATCCCCGAGGGGACTCTGTGTGGAGAAACTGTTGAGTGTACAGACTTTATTTATGCATAATTTAATGGGATCTGTAAATACTTCTTAGGACTTTTTGTGAAACGGGATTCGATTTTAATATTAACTTTTAACGGTGATGGGTAACATAGCACCTAGATTTTATTATGCAGATGCACACAGGGTGTTAAGATGGAAGCTGACGCAGGCCTGCTCAGGCACGATCTAATTGGAGCTGTTTAGGAAGCAATAACATCTCGTTCCTTTGGGCTGAACCAGAAGAGTAGAGTGTAGCTTGTGTGGGTGATGTGTGGGTTGGAATTGAACTTCTCTGCCTGTCAGTGCTCCCAAAGTCATTGTGCGTATAATACCTGCATAATAAAAAATATTCTCGATAGAATCTGTGAAAGCCTGGTTCTGACCCGTTTCTTTTTTCCCCCGGCTCCTAGGATGGGTAGGCTCAATCAGGGCTAACTTGAGGCTTGAATGTGGCTTAGCTGATTCTATAAATGGAGTAGGCAGTCTTGGTGCTGTGGAAGGATCTTCTTTCCGCTCCCTAATGACGATGCTCAGCTGCCCCGGATCCTTCACACTCTCTTCTTCTCCCTCGTTACCTGAGTGCCAGCACCTGGGGGTTCAGAGAGGGGGCAGTTTGCCGCCGAGAGCCTCCGGTCTGCTTAGCATGTGCTCTGCTGCCTTGTGGTACCCCAAGCCTAGGGCCACAGTTTTAAGAAGCATTGAATGGGCGTGAGGTCTTCACTGGTGTCCTTGGGCAGGTCCTAAGGGGAGGAAATAACACCAATCAAACTCGAGTGGTGACTTGGGCATCAGTGTGTTCGGTGGAAAGGGAATTCTCTGTCATCCGAAACAGTGAAGGCTGTCCTCTCTTGTCTTCATTTTGTCTGACCGGTGAGTTCGAGGGATTGCAGGAGCCCGGAGGCCTGTGTGTTTTTTGGGCTTTTGGAACTTGGATGCACTCTGCCTGTACTCGGTTTCTAGTTCAAGTGTCCTGGCATAGCCTCCAGGAAGTGAGAGGTTAATAGTTTGGCATGCATGGCTGAGCTTCCAAGGGAGGTGGGGGCAGGAGGATTTTCCACTTTGGATAAAGTCATGGCTTCAGCTCCTTTTTTATAATCCTTAATTCCTAATTCCCTCCCCAGTGCACAGCCGCTCCTGACTTCACATTGGCATGGGATGTTCTTAAGTAGTTTAAGCCATGTCAACCCCATACTTGCTCTTGGCAGCTCTTCCATGGTCCCTGTACATCCCCATTAAGTTGGATTTATCTAGATGATATGTCAAGATCACAATTGGCTTTGCTTCCAAGCACAGAAAAGAGGTCTTAGGTTGGCAGTTGTTTCTCAATCAAGACTCAAGACTCTGGGTGTAGAAAGGAAGTCACGGGGGCAAAGGGTTGAGAGAATATGAACAGCTTTCTTATCATCAGCAAACCTGCTTTGGGACCAGAGGGTGGATTTTAAAGGCTCCGTACGTGCAGGCAGCCTGCTGGGAGCTCCCTAAAAGTCAAACGACTAAAGAGAACCACAGACAGGCTCTCATACCTGGTTCAGTGCTTACATCTTACCCATACCCTTGGAAATACAGGGACGAGTTCCCTATACCCGACATCCAAAGCCTGGTACCCTGTGAAGCAGAACCAGACCCTTCTCAGGAAACTCACAGACACCTTGCCTTCTGACAATGTTCCCAAGGAGCTGTAGCCCACTAGTAAAATAAGGGGCTGTGACTTTGGCATCAGGTTCAAAAGCACTTGAACCCGAGCCGGATGGGTTTCTGTTTAAGCTTCACTGAAGTGAGCACCCTCTGCTTTCTGCCTGCTCTCTGGTGGTATACTGGCCGTCCCACACACGGCTGCCTTTATTTCTGTGTCTGGTGTATGTGTACGCGTGTGGGGGCGTGTGTGCATGCTTGCGGAGGGTACGTCAGGTGTCTTCCTCTATGGCTCTCCACCTTAATTTTGGAGATGGCAATCACTCAGGGAACCGCCAACCCACTGGTTCGGCTAGGCTGCTGGCCAGAGAGCTCCAGGGGCCTCCTGTCTAGCTCCCCAGCTCTGGCATTCTAGGTGTGTGTTGCTGAGCCCAGCTTTTTAAAAGAAATCTATTCATAATTTTTACGTTCTGTGTCCGTGTGAGTGGTGGCATGCATGTGTACTGAATGTGCCTGTATGTGGCTGGAGTTACATACAGGTGGTTGTGAGCCACCAAATGTGGGTGGAGGGAACCCAGCCCAGGTCCCCTGCAGGAGCAGCAAGTGCTCTTAATGGCGGAGGCATCTCTCCAGCACTCCACGCCTGACTTTTTTGTGGGTGCCAGGGACCCAAGCTGAGGTCCTCACAGTGCACAACAAACACTTAACTGACTGAGCCGTCTCCCTGGCAGCTCTCTGGTTTTTTGAAACAATGTTTTGCTATGTAGCTATGACTGGCCTGAAATACACTGTGTAGCTCAGGCTGGCCTTATACTTACAATCCTCCTGTCTCCACCTCTGGGGGTGGGGTTAGGATTATAGGCATGCACCACCATGCCCAGCTATGAGCTTCCCTTTTTTAAGGCATATGTTGATGTTGTCGCTGCCCTCTGGGAAAAGTACTCTCAATAAGCTCCTTTGTCCCAGCTTGCTGAAGGAAGCCCACTGTGTCTGAAGGCACACGCTGCCCAGAATTCCATGCCCATAAGGGAAATCTCGGCAGGACTGTACATCTCTTGGCTGGCATCCGGGTACCTGGCACTTAGCAGGCGCCCCCTTCCTCTGCATATAGCACACCTGTAGGTTCTCTGTGGGGACGGGGAGAGTGTTTTCCATGGCTGTTCACGCTTGTCTTATCTTCCATGTGCATGTGATTTGAGCCGTGGGTTAGGCAAGAGACAAGGCGGCTGTTTCTCATTTGAGATGATTCCGTAACAATGGCGGGCATTCTTTTCTTTTGGGGGGTCTGATGTGAGGCTGAGCCCTGGGACCTCAACTTCCTGGATTTGAACCGTTAAAAACCAAAGCGAAACAAGGTAGGGTCACGGACGGGTGAGAAACAAAGAGACTTCTCTGAGGGCCGGGCACAGCCTGGGGCTCTGGAGCCCACCGTCTTTTTCTCCAGGAAAACGCCGGCTAGTGTATGTTCCCGAGGAGGCTGCGGTGCCTTCTGATGACCTCGGAATTTCTCCAGTCTTCACTTCCTGCAGATGGGTAGAGCAGTGTCCCAAAGTAACAGTCAAATCCGCCTGCCTTTCCGTGCAAGGGAATAACTTTGAAGTGGCTGTTGTCCATCTGTTGTATTGGGGATGAGCGTATGGTTCCTTGAAACCTATTTGGCAGATGAAGGCCTTGTACTGGGGCAGATAATGTGGCTCTCGGTGGGTCCTGTATTGGCAGTGACCCTTTGCAAGGTCACCTTCAACCAGCTGAGCCCAAAGGGCTGTGAAGAGTTCCCCTGGGGGTGGCAATAGAGGAGGATCTTTCTGTTTTCCACACTGTGGGGCTTTGACTTACAAATGTCTCTTCTGGACTAGAAGTTTCTCTTGGATGATATATTGACTTCCCTCTGTCAGAGCTGATTTGCCTTGGACTTTTCCTGTCCACAGCCCCCATTTGTCTCCTGAGGCCTGTGGGTCTCTCTCCTCCAGGATGGATGGAGGCTCTGGGTGCCATCAAAACCTAACCCTTTCCTGGCTCTGTACACTCAGGTTGACAGTTTGCCTAATGTCCATTCTGATGCCAAGAAGTAGATTGCACCTTGAGCGTCTTTGTTGGTAACAGGGAACCTGATCTTCTGTGGAGATGAACTTGACCTCAGAAACTTTAAAGTGACTTACAGTAGAGTCCATATTTCACGGGTCACTCGCTGATTTTGGCACAGTGATACAAGTAATTTCTTTCTTTTTTTTTTCTTTCTTTTTTTTTTTTTTTACTTTTTTTTGGTTTTTCGAGACAGGGTTTCTCTGTAGTTTTGGAGCCTATCCTGGAACTAGCTCTTGTAAACCAGGCTGACCTCGAACTCACCCAGCGATACAAGTAATTTCCTAGGTTCTTTTGGACAACATCTCCCTGGGTGGAATGGATGGGGAAAGGAGTAGAGATTGAAAGCCCAGATTTTAGAGACCTAGCCAAGGAATAGCTTTGTTAAGATTTTCGAGGTCAAAGCTGTTTTAGGGTGGTGTGTGTGTGTATGTATGTGTGTATTATTTGGAGAGTGTGAACATTTTTTAAGGAGGGATTTTACAAATAACCTTCACAAGTGAGAAAGGTTGAAACGATGTCAGGGCTTCTAGCCCTCACTGGCTCTAAGCCACTGGGATTTCGTAGGCAGGTTTATGTCCCCCAAAGAATCTGTTAAAGTGGAGTCTAGGGAGAGAGCTCTGTCGGTAATAGTGCTCGCCTAGCAAACCAGAGAACCCGAGTTAGAGTTCCAGAACCCATGTTTAAAAAGCCAGGCATGGTGAGCGGTCTGTACTAGCTCTGGGGAAGTTGTGGCAGGAAGAGGCCTGGCTCTCACTGCCCAGCCGGGAGACAGAACCCATGAGCCTCAGTCTTAGTCAGGGTTTCTATTGCTGTGAAGAGACACCATGACCACGGCAACTCTTCCAAGAAAAACATTTAATAGGGGTGACTGCTTACAGCTTCAGAGGTTCAGGCCATTATCACTGTGGCGGGAAGCATGGCAACGTGCAGGCAGATGTGGTGCTGGCTACATCTTGATTAGAAGACAGCAGGAACGG